GTAATCAGCAATGGATTAATATGTGGAGGGGTTCAGGGAATCTGCTTTTTTTTATAGACTTTTAGCCACCATTCGTATATTTAGTCCTACATATAACCTTACTTTCAAAGCATCTGGTGCCTCTATTTTCTGAGACTCTTGAAGTTCTGTTGCAAAAAGCAGCCTGTTTCTAATTTGTTTCTTGTCTCAACTTAAAATTTAACTTTCTTCCTCGTTAAGTCAGTTGCCACTCATCCATCTGGTTTCCAGCTTACAAAATTCTCTTAGTGTTGTGTCATTTACCAAACCCTTTGTCCTTGCAGGTATAAATCTTTTTAGTCATCTCCTGTCTGTTACTAAGAGTTCAATGAGGAATAAAATGCAATCGTTTCAATTAAAATATTCCACATTCTCATTATAAGGGGCACTCTAAAAGAAATATGTATTTACTGCCTAATGATTATACGTCCTTTGTTGCACATACTAGAAAACTACAAGTATTTTAAAACTGAATTACCACTCAAGAAGCAGAAGATTCACAATTACATAAGTCAAATAATTACAGAAACACAAGATGACGTTCAGTGTGAAACCATTTCTTCAGTATATGTGTTTGGAGCTCCTAATAAACTACTGAAATCATGTTTAACTGAACTGAGGAGGAACTAGTCAGAATTAAGGTAGAATTGTAGGAAAGCAGAGGAGCAGATAAAATTTTTCTAAATGTATATGATAAAAAGAAATATTTTATAAGTATTCCACTCATTGGTTTGCTGTGTGCCCCTCTTTTAAAGTTTTGTGCTCTAACAGAGTATCACTAAATGGATGGTTTGTTCTGTAGCCTAAGAGATATGAAATCAAGATGTCAAAGTTGGGTCTTTCCAAGATCATTTCCAGGCCTCTTTTGTGGCTTGTCAATAACGGTCTTTGTGTTCACATGGAATTATCCCTGTATACATGTCTGTCTCTAAATGCTTCCTTTTTACAAGAATTTGTAAAATTTGGATTACAGCTCACCCTAATAACCTCATTACAACTCAACTACCTCTATCTCCACATAAATTTGCATTCTGAGGTACTTTAGGTTACAATTTCAACATGTAAAATTTTTTAGGGACACAATTCAACTCATACCAGCCCTCTCCAAATGAAGGATGAAACAGTTGGTTCAAAATTTTTTACAATGAATAAGGAGTTTAAGTAAATTAGAATGAGGCTGAGATGAAGACTGCCATATTTAGGACTTTCAGTCCTAAATTAATGTAGCAAAACATTACATGCTCCAGAAAAGGACAAAGCATGGACTTGAAAGGCCTATGCACATTTAGCCTTCTTCCCAGTTCACACTTACAGAAGGCACCACGTGTTCTCATTTGTTCAAGTACCCCAGATATGGCTAGAAACGGACTCACTGGCTTCTAAAAATAGAAGGTAATAAGACTTATTCAACATAAAAATATAAAACAATTTATTTAAATAAGAAAATTAAAATATGCTTCTTTAAAAAATAGATTTATAGTTTAGTAATTTATGCTATTTACTTTAGCTAAAGTTTAATTAAACTTTAGATTTAAAAAAATACATTTAGAGATCACATGTAGTATAAATCAAAGGTTGCCAAACAGAGATATGTTTCAGAATCACCTGGGGATTTTTCTAAAATACACAGATTTTGAACAGAAAATTCACAAAAGCGTATCTTTTTTTAAATTCTCCAATTGATTCTAATGTTGGCTGCCTGATCCATCTGCCTTGTTTTAGACTGGAAAAAATTGAGGCCACTTTCACAAAATTAAATATCATAGGACATATTTAATAAAAAAATGGTATAGTTCTGCTTTTTTCATTTTGATCACCAGCAAATTAGACAATTTTTCAACACCTTTATTGACACAATCATTCTTATGTTATGGCAAAGATCACTAAGTATCATTTGTTTTACTTTAGTAAAAGTTTAAGGTGACCAATTTTGAATGTTGGCAGATTTTATAAAACCATATCAAAAAAATTTCTACAGTGGAAAGCCCAATTCACTACAGGAGATTTTAGAAACTTACAGATGATGTCCTATCCACTTCACAACGGCTGCTCAGAATAAAACAGGCTTCAGCATCATCCATTCTAAATACAGAGAGAAAAACAAAAATAAGCACACACTAAAATATCTGTATATGTATGAAAAAAACAGAATTCCAAGGCTTAGTCCATATTTTGCACAAAATGTACATGTAGACCATGGGTATCCTTAAACTTAAATGAAAGTTGAATTTCTAGTAGATCATGACTGCATTTGACTCTGAACAAAAAAAGTTACTGTTGGGTTGTCTATATAACAAGAATTCAGGACAGAGTAGAAAACAAACCAAACTTCATTCACTTTTTCTGATTATATATGTTTTAATATGTATGCTTCAAATAAATTAAGGGAATGGCAGTGGCCTTTATTTGATGATTAATAACATTTTAACTTTTTTTTTTTTTTTTGGCCAGGGCTGGATTTGAAACTCCCACCAGCAGATGGGGCCAGCACTTTACTTCTTTGAGCCACAGGCACCACCCAATAACATTTCAACTTTAACATCTCAATTAAACTAAGAAATGGAAAAGAGGTGCTTGGTATTTATAAGTTAAACTCTACTGTACGTTTATATTTCTGGGAGGTGATTCATCATCTTTTTCTAAACCTTTTCCCTTCATGCTCAGGTTCAACAATTTTTAAATTTAGTGATAAAGAAACAGTACATTTTAGTGTTTGATACATAATGTTCTAAAAGTGTAAGAATGTTTATTCTCACAACAAGGAATGATTTATCTCTGTGGTTCACTATTATAAAACACGTCTTGTCCAAAAAAAATATTTTCTATGGAGAAGAAAGATAAAAGTCTGTGAAATTAGACCAAACCAAACAGTTCTGGAAAAATGTTGTGCCATGGTTACTAAGAAAATATGAGTATCGAATAACATTCTCTAAACATCATTTTCAACAGAGCAATTCAAAACACATGCAACTGACCTTTGGAACTTGTTTGGAGAATCCTATTCCTTATCCCTTGCATGGGGAATTGCGTTGAAGAATGTATTAGTTAATATTAAATCCCATATCTTTTATGTGAAGTTAGGATTAGAAATGAACATAAAAATGGACACTCTGTCAATTCTAACTTCATTCTTAACCCAGATTTTTACTACCAGTTGGCTACCTCTCCATGCCCTTCCTTTTTTATTCCAATGGAGGAATACTTCTTGCAAATGTGATTGCTTTTGCTAAGAAATCATTTTATTACTATTAACACAACTATAAATTAGTTTTGTTAATCCTAAATAGTATCTAGGTTAGATACTAATAGCTAATACTAATAACACAGATTAATTTCTTAGGTAGCAAAAAAGTTTCCATTATTACATGAATTCATATTGAATACAATATGGGCATTATCCATGCTTATTTTGTGAAGAACATAACTCGTATGTAGTAAATTAAGCATAACAAGATGATTGAGATTATATCAGTGTCTAAGTAACTATTCCTCTTGGTACAGTTAGCAAACAGGAAAGATCTAAAGCGAGGGTTTACTGGAAGGGCTAGGAAAAATCTGATGACATATAGAACTGTCTGTCATATATACAACAATGACAAATATAAAGTATATTACTCCACCAAAAAATAACTTCATTTTAATTACATTATCACGCATTATATCCTGATACTTTCTATCTAGTGACTTTTTTGGGGGGATTCAGAAGTTAAAATATTGAAAAAGTACTCAGTTAAACCGATTTCATTATATATAAATGAAAAGTAATAGCAGGTTTCCTGACTAGACACCTAGTCATCATCTGCAGGATTGAGAAGCAAAAAGGAATCTGATATTCTGTTCCACAAAGTATTTTACTTTTCTTTTCTCTTTTGCATCCCCTCTTATACACACAGACATACACAGACACATACACAGACACACACAGAACATTCACACACACACACCCCTACTCAGACACACTTACTCAACAAAGAAAAGCAAACAGACAAGTAAAAAGCCCTTATTCTATACAATTCAGTGGAGGAAACCTTAAAATCTAAAAGAGCATGTAGGACAACTCAAGGATAAACATGAAGACATATTTGAAACTTCAAAAACAGCAGAAAATATCAAGTAAAACCACTTCTGGTAAGGCTTTCCTCAGGCTTTTGAAATTAAGGATGTTGTTTGGCACGCACCCTGATTCCCTGGTGTCCACACTCTGCCCAACCATGCTCTCACTCTGCTCATGTGGTATAACCCTGATGACCTGTGACAAATATTTAAGGCTTTGTCACCTTTAAGCCAAATTGGCTGCCACATGCACAAAAAGAAGAGGGCAGCACGGTAAGACCTGCCACCCTTCTGCTTCCTCTGTCCCCCAGGACTCTTCTGTTTCTGCCTCTAGGCAAAATAAGTGCTGTCAGGTCAGTACATAGTACAAACTCTTGAAAATTTAAACCTTGGCTCTCATTGCTTTGATGTCTCACGTAAAGTTTTTCCCAAGATTTTTATATCTGGAATAAAAAGTGTATCCAGGGATTAAGAGACTATTCTAATAGCATTCTATATACCCCCAATCCATCTCGGACAGCTTAAGATAATTATTTTTATTTATTTATTTTTTTAGAGACAGAATCTCACTTTATCACCCTCAGTAGAGTGTCGTGGCACATCACAGCTCACAGCAACCTCCAACTCCTGGGCTTAGGCAATTCTCTTGCCTCAGCCTCCTGAGTAGCTAGGACTACAGGCACCCGCCATAGTGCTTGGCTATTTTTTGTTGCAGTTTTGCCTGGGTGGGGTTTGAACCGGCCACTCTCACTATATGGGGCCAGCACCCTACCCACTGAGCCACAGACGCCACCCAGATAATTATACCATGCCACACACACTGTGTTCTGTGGACATGGTCTGTTAAACAACTTTGCCCTGAGACAAGGCTGGGAAAGAAAAGTGAACACACTGATTTTTATATAATATATTTAACCTTTCAGTTTGACCAACATTGTGACTAGAGTAAAATTCTGTATAGAAACACCTAAACACATCTTGCAACACTTGAAACTGCTAAAATTTGGTGGACAGAAAAGATAATAAAGCACTGAAAACTATATGCTGCAAGATGAAAAAGAGACGGGTAGACCTACTTTGCTCTCAGCAGGTCTTGATCTTTAAGGGCTGACCCTTGAAGGTAGATAACTCTTTGGGACCACATTGGAATCTGCAGCACCCTACGAACTTGCACATCCATTTCAGTAGGACACAAAATCACCACATAATAATCCTATTCAAAACAAAACAGGCAATGAAAGAGAAACACTAACATTTTATGTTATATACAACATAGGTAAATAAAATATCCAATAAAATTGTGAAATATAATAAAATTGAATTAAACTCTTGCTAATACATAGAAATTCACATGAAACACCTGGGCATATGTATATTAACTAACACTGCATTATTATAAACACAACTAAGACATAAAAAAGCTCAAAGATTAATAAATTCATCCTGCTTTATTTCATTCTTATTTCATCCTTATTACCATAAAAGGAAGGTTATCAGTACTTATACTTGACATACACTTCCAGATTGTAAAGTTTTTAGTTATAACTGCAGGCTGATGATCCTAAAATATACATTGAATATGAAGAAAAAGCATAGTATCAATTCATACTTCAAGATGTTCTAGAATCAAACCTATGATAGTGATTTATATCATTTGGTAATATTATGAACTGATAATTTTGAACAATTTCTGATCAACAGTTGACTGGGTAAAGAATCATAAAAACATTAGAAATGCTGAGAAATTAAATTAAATCAAAGAATTGACATCAAAATATTTCAAACTTTATACTCATTTGGAAAAAATACAAAAGTATTCACAGTGGTGAAATTGTTTGAAACAACGTCTATAAAAAGTATAATTGGAGAGTTTTAAACTGCTGGTGGGACTGCAAACTAATATAACCTGTTTGGAAGGAAGTATGGAGAACCCTCAAATACCCAAGCTACCTCCCATTTAATCCTGCAATCCCATTACTAGGCATCTACTCAGTAAGAAAAATATCCTTTTACCGTAAGGACACATGCTCTAGACTGTTTTTCACAGCTCAATTTACAATCACCAAAATGTGGAAGCAGCCTACATGCCCACCAACCCAGGAATGGATTAATAAGCTGTAGTATAAGTACACCATGGAATACTACCCAGCCATTAAAAAGATGGAGACTTTGCATCCTTTGTATTAACCTGGATGGAAGTGGAACACATTCTTCTCAATAAAGCATCAAAAAAATGGAGAAACATGAATCCTATGTACTCAATTTTGATATAAGGACAATTAATGACCTCGTACCCGGTGAGGGATGGGGGGTGGGGAGCGCAGAGAGAGAGGAAAGGAGGGAGGTGGGTGGGGTCTCCATGTGGGACACACCTTTTGGGGGCAAGACATAATTATAAGAGGGACTTTACCTAACAAATGCAATCAGTGCAACCTGGTATCTTGTATCCTCAATGAATCCCCAGCAAAAAAAAAAAAAAGTATAATTCTCTGGTGAACATTCACCACTCTATTACTCTAAAATATATGTAATGAGAATTTGGGTAGTTTTAAGAATTCTCTATATTGATGGCAGATAAAGTTAATTAATTACTATAGGATCAAAATTTTCCCCCAAATAGCTTTTCTTATAATGAGTAAACTGTAAATTATTCAATATAAATAACAAAAATCCTAGAAATAGAGTTCCTAAAAATGCAATTAATTTATATGAAAATTAAAGAATATGTTTTGTAATTTAAAGATCACTTATAAAGTAGTGTTTTAAAATACAAAAATATATTATTTTTAGAAGTCTCCAAATTACTCGTAAATCAATGTTTCTACGTTTTGTTAGGGAGGAATAATTAAATATGCTGAGCACTGTCTTGGTCTCTGGGATTATTCAACTCTCGACACACAAATGCACTGAGGAAATATGAGACCTTCAAATAGCAGTTTGCTTTTTGGACTGGACTGAGTGCATTAAGCAGAAAAAGTGATTACCTAAATTGACATTGGCCCAGGACCATGACAAATGGAAGAAATATTCAAGGATTTTATCTGCATAGACAGATGGAAAGATTTTTCTGAACTCATGTTCTCAATTCAGCTAGTTATTGTCCAATTTTTGGCCATTTATTGCTACTATAAATAGGACTTATTTACACTCCAGGAAACAAAAGAAAAAATGAAACTTCCAGATTTTTGCATTTCCATTAGCAATACTTGATAAGATTCTGCAGTATTCAAATGAGCAAACGATATGGAATGGTTTCTTCATTGTTTCATTATATTTTATCTTAAAATGCACTGTTTCATAAAAAATGTGATTTAATCTCTACCCAAGGAAGAAAAAGCAATCCTTTAATTCAAAGAAATTTTTGTCTCTATAGCATTAACATAATTCCATCTGTCTTTTAGTGTAGATCCAGAAGGAAACTTAAAGTACTGAGAATTTCTTCAGCAAAGAAATTTTTCTGTGTTCCTGGTTATATTTGTAGTTCTTCATTTACTCTTTCTAAATCAGAGCATATAAATAAAAATTCTCCATGAAACAGGCTGCACCCTCAGTTAATTGACTTTGACAATATGTTAGTAGGTATGATCCAGTGTAATATAAGCCAAACATACCTGCAGTCTTGGATGAGCATAGAATTCATTTAGAAAATCCATAAGTAAATCAATCTTCAGGGAGCTGACACACAGGACAACATGCTTTTCAGTCTGAGCTCTATGTCGACTATAGTTTCCACCTGACTTTTGTCTCTCCATCCACAAATAGGCCAACTGTTCAAACTGTAAGGTATTTTACACGTGATGAGAAACACTAGATATGAAAATTTAGTACATCTATTGTTTATTAGGTATACTCAATTTTTCAGATGGAACTCATTCACATTTGAAGTATCAATGTTCCCTTCCACAACAGACTTTTCGTGTGACTTTGGCAGAGGTTTCAAATCCCTCCCAGGAACTTGGAGTCTCAAAGGAAACATATTAACATGCTATTACTATTATGTCACAACAGGCCAGTAAGAGATTAGAGCCTCCACTTTACATCCATAGAATATGATGTGTCCTGCACTAAGTGAAAGAGAAAAGCCTCATCACTATTTCTTCACATTCTCTGCCAAGTTTTGCTCACATAGCACACAGTGAGAGAGATAGTAAGTAAGGCCACATTGTAGCTATAAAATAGACAATATCTGAGGATAGGGGATGATGTAAGAAAGGGATGTTAGGAAGGAAGGCATGCATGATAGGCTGGTAGAGAGAAGGCCCAAGGTATATTTAGAGACACTGTGGCTAAAGTTGCTTAATGGAACAGGCAACCTGTTTCTGACCTACCCACACATGGGCATCTAGGGCCCCTTATAGGAAAGGGTTGGAGATTCATTACATCTACTTATCTTTATTTCCATTCCATTTATATCTCACTCCCTTTGAAACTTTCCTGTTCCTTCCTTAAAATGTTACATAATATATACCATGTTCAGATTTTGTTTTAGTTGATTAACATAAGTAATCAATTTTTATTCATTGCAGTGTATGATTTTTAGGTTTATTTTCAAGAACCAAGAGAAATTAATCTTTCCCAAATGTATTTCTTTGATCTGTCATATATTAAAAACTGTACTACCAAGCCAGGCACAGTGGATTATGCCTGTAGTCCCACCTTTGGGAAGCCACAGTGGCAGGATTGCTTGAGGCCACCAGTTCAAGAACTCCTCTCTACAATAAAAAATAAAAAATTTCCCAGGCTTTGGGGGTATGCACCTATAGATCCAGCTACTTAAGAAATGGAGGCAGAACTGCTTGTGCCCAGGATTTCGAAGCTACAGTGAGCTGTTAGGGCCACTGCACCCCAGCCTGATAACAGAGTGAGGAGTGAGAAACTCTCTCTGAAAAAAAAAAAAAAAAGATAAACTATAACATCCTATAAAAATGTATTTAAATACCTTATATTGAAAGAAAGAATCTTGAGGAAATGAAATAAGATGTAAACTTATTCCTCCAGTTGTAACTGGAGGAAAATAAAAAAAAAAAACTTAACATTTCTAATAAAATATAAAAAAGCATTTCTACATAATTTACATAAATGATTACATATAATAGCATGTGCTAATATATTTTTGTCAGATAAATAAGCCAAACAGCTTTTCTCATTAAACATAGAGTGTTCAGTCTTATAAGTCTTTGCACATTTCTATAAAATTTAAGATAGTTGTGTTTACCTGTATGGGGAGAACCACCAGGGCAACACAAATCATAGCAACAACGAAAAGCTTGGAGGACCATGTTTCAGGAGTGACATCCCCAAAGCCCACAGTAGAAAATGTAACAATGCAGAAATAAAGAGAGTCAAAGAGATTCAGCTTCTTTCCTATTCGTTCCAGATGCTGGATCCCACAAATGCTAAAAATAAATAAATAAATAAATAAATAAATCTTTCTAATGGAACACATTATTTCTCATCATTATTCTTTTGCAAGCCAATTTTATAATTGATCCCCTTGTTTGGGGATCTTATATTTTACAATATTATTTTTTTTCCAGAACATATGGTTATTTTTTTTCTACAAAAACCAGATTTAATCTTTTTTTGATTAATAGCCAAAAACAGTTGCCAATATAACACAAAGTATATTTTAATAACATGTAAAATGTTATGAATAACATTGAATATAATATAACATAATACAATATAATATAAAAATAACATTGTATAATGAATAACATGTAAAATGAATAGACTGAATTTCATGGGTGATACAAAAGACATTGAATGTACATAAAGAAATCAAAGAGACCAGAAATCCCATCGACCCATGAATAGATCAATAAATTGTGGTATATGTACACCATGGAATACTATGCAGCCATAAAGAAAGATTCAGATTTTACCTCCTTCATGTTTACACAGATGGAGCTGGAAAATATTCTTAGCAAAGTATCTCAAGAATGGAAGAAAAAGTATCCAATGTACTCAACCCTATTATGAAATTAATTTTTAGCTATCATAGGAAAGCTATAACTCAATTTTAGCCCAGGAATATGGGGAGAGGGGAGAGGGAGGGCAGGGGAGGCGGGAGGATGAGTGGAGGGAGCGTGATTGCTGGGATCACAACTATGACTCATCCTATAAGGGTACATGTGAATCTTTCTAAATGTGGAATATAAATGTCTTAACACAACAACTTTGAGAATGACATGAAGGATATATTAACCAACTGGATGAAAGTATTTCAAATTGTATACAGAAACAACACACTGTACCCCATGGTAGTATTAATGTGCACAACTATGATTTAATAAAAAAAAAAGAAATGCAAATCAAAACTACTTTGAGATATCATCTAACACCAGTGAGATTAGCCCATATCACAAAGTCCAAAAATCACAGATGCTAGCATGGTTGTGGAGAAAGGGAAACATTTCTACACTGCTGGTGGGAATGCAAACTAATACTTTCCTTTTGGAAAGACGTCTGGAGAACACTTAGAGAACTAAAAATAGACCTCCCATTTGATCCTATAATTCCTCTACTAGGTATAAATCCAGAGGACCTCTCAGAAAGATAGTGAGAGAGAGAGAGAAGGAGAGAGAGGGAGAAACAATGTTATAGGCACCATACTTCCTGATTTCAAAACATTAAAAAGCTATGATAATCAAAGTTGTTTTCTACTGGCAGAAAGGCAGACAACTGAACCAATGAATCAGAATAAAAGTGACAAATTCTTGCATATATTGTCCAATAAAGTTATTTACACACCTATAAAAATAAAATAAAATAAAATAAATCCAGAGGACCAAAAATCATACTACAACAAAGATATTTGTACCAGAATGTTTATTGTAGCCCAATGCATAATTGCTAGGTCATGGAAGAAGCCCAAGTGCCCATCGACCCACGAATGGATCAAGAAATTGTGGTATATGTACACCATGGAATACTATGCAGCCATAAAGAAAGATGCAGACTTTACCTCCTTCATGTTTACATGGATGGAGCTAGAAAATATTCTTCATAGCAAAGTATCTCAAGAATGGGGAAAAAAGTATCCAATGTACTCAGCCCTACTATGAAACTAATTTATAGCTTTCATAGGAAAGCTATAACCCAATTATAGCCTAAGAATATGGGGAAAGGGGAGAGGGAGGGGAGGGGAGGATGGAAGGATAGATGGAGGGAGGGTAATTGATGAGATCACACCTATGGTTCATCTTATAAGGGTACATGAGAATCTTTCTAAATGTCAAATATAAATGTCTTAACACAATAACTAAGAAACTGACATGAAGGCTATGTTAACCAGCTTGAAGAAAATATTTCAAATTGTATATAAAAACACCACACTGTACCCCATGACAGCATTAATGTACACAGCTATAATTTATTAAAAAAAAATACCTATCTCATATGTGCTATTACAGCATCATAAAATGTTCTAAAACACCAATGACTCTCACAAGGAGTTCTTACATAGACCAGTCATCTGTACAAAGCTATTGATGTCATGAAGGGAGCAAAAGAAATTGTTAGAGAAGTCCTCCAATTAGAATTGTTAGAATAACATTAGAAATAGTGCTGCTACTAGCTTAAACAAACAAACAACAAAAGGCAAAGTGAGACTATGAACAATAAATACATTATGCAATATTAAAGGACGGTATAAGATCTGCAACATAAAAATCAGCTTGTGATTGGTATGGCTTTAATGTTTGCATCTTTTCCAAAATTCAAGCTGAAAGTTAGATCTGCAATGCAACATGACTAAGAGGTGAGCCTTAACTTGTGGTTAAGCCCTCATGAAAGGGGTTAGCAACCTTATAAAAATGCTGAAGAGAACTAGCCAGACTTCTTTTTGCCCTTCTGCCTCTTGCCATGTGAGTTCACAGCATCAGGGCACCATCTTGGAGGCAGAGAGAAGGCCCCGGACAGACACTGAGTTTGCAGCAACTCGATTTTGAACTTCCCAGCCTCTAGAAATGTGAGGGAAAAAATTCTGATGTTTATAAATTGCTCAGCCTCGGGCATTTTGTTAAAGCAGCACAAACTAATACAACAATTGGTAGGAAGTGAGATGTTGCTATAACAAATAACTAAAAATGTAAACGGAATAAAGGATACCTGGATAATGAATAGAGGCTGGAAGTGTTTGAGAGCGTGTGACAGAAAAAGTCTAGGTTGCCCAGGATGGAGTGTTAAAACCAATTCTGGAGAATGGTCAACAAAAAAAGAGAGCAGTAGGAAAAGACTTGGACATAAAGTAAACATGACGTTCATAGAAATACGGACAGTGGTGGTCATTCTGGTGAGCTTTTAAACAGAAATGAAGACTACCTCATTGGAAACTTAGAAGAAAGGCCATCCTTGTGACAACATGGTGAAATGTAGCTGAATTATGCTCAGTCTACAGTCCTAGTATTTCGTGGAACACAGAATTTAAGTGATGAACCAGATAATTTGCCAGAAGAAATGTCTAAGCTAAGTATTTAAGTTTCTGCATAGTGTCTCTTGACTGTTCATGGTAAATGCCATAAGAAAGAAATGCATTTAAGATGAAATTTATAATTGAGAGAGAAGCAGAACTTAAAAATTTGGAAAAGTCTCAGCCCAGATAGACTGCAAAAACTAAAAATTAGCAAAAATACCAATCATTTGATAAAGAGATTAGCATGGCTAAAAGGAAGTCAGATGCTATTAATTAAGACAATTGATGGGTGACCGGGAAGGCATTCAGAGCTCCTTCAGGTTGCAACTCTCATGGGCAGGCCCAGAATGCCAGGGTCTTGAGGGAATAATGGTTTCAATGTAGAGACCCAGGAATCCCTGGGACCTCAAGGCTCAGTACACAAGGCCAACTCAAGTCTGCATTCTGGTGCAACCCTCCTCGGCTACCCCAGGGGCTGTTAAAGCAGGCCCAGGTGTGACTCAAGGCTGCTGCCCCATAGGAAAGAGGTGGTAAACTTTGGTAGCATCCATCTGGTAATAACTCAACAGGTGTGCAGAATGCACAAGCTATGAAACCTGTCTACTTCCACCTAGATTTCAAAAGATACCTTGGAGACCCTCAGAACCCAATATAGAAGCTGTACAGGGTTGAGGACCCACAGAGAGTTTCATTAAGGTGTTCCAACATATTGTGTTAAAGCCACAGCGGAAAAACCATATTAAGGCAATGCCTAGTAGAGCCATAGAGGTGAGGCCACCCCTGAGGCCCCATAAACTCAGTGGTTCTCAACTTTCTGAATGCCACAATGTATTTTCATTGTTACAAAGGCATCGCAACCCACAGGTTGAGAACCACTGCCATAACCGTAGAGATACCAGTAGACAATGCCAGTATGAGAGATTTGGAGGCAGACTATGGGAATGCCAGGAAAGCACATGAGGATGGTGCTTCGCAGGACCTTGAAAGCCAACCCATCTCCAGTGTGTCCAGGGAAGTCAGGCCATGGAATCAAAGATTACTCTCAAATCTCAGGACTTAATGTTGTTTTCCTCACTGGATTTTGAACTTACTTGAGAAATACTACATATTTCTTGTCTTTTCCTCCCTCTTGGAATGAGAATATCTGTCTTATACCTGTGCTAACATTGTATTTTGGAAGCACATGACTTGTTCAAATTCATAGACTCACAGCTGGAAAATAATTTGCCTCAGGCTTCTCACCCACATCTGATTTAAATGATATTTAGATGAGATGTTGAACTTAGACCTTGAAGCTGATGCTGAGACAAGACTCTGAAATTCAAGTGAAAAGGACATGAATTTTGGTGGCCAGAGATGAAACGCTGTGGTTCCAATACTTGTGTCCCCTCCCAAATTTATACTGAAACTTAAAACCACAATGCAACATTAAGAGATGAGCCTTTAGGAAATGATTAATTCATGAGGGCTCTACAACCTTATAAGGATTAGCAACTTATGAAAGGGTAGAGAGAACTAATAGGCCCCTTTTGCTCTATTGCATTGTGAGAACACAGCAACAGGAGCTATCTTGGACACAGAGACAAGGTTCTCAACAGACACCAAATTGTGGCCCCTTGATCTTGGACATCCCAGTCTCTAGAACTGTGATAAATCTCTATTATTTTCAAATGACCCAGGCCCAGGTATTTTGTTACAGCAGCACAAACAGACTAATATAATAATGGAATGCTATTCAAAAAACAAAGTTAAGTAAAGGAACAAAATACTGACACACATTACAACATGGGCAAACTACAAAAGCATGCTGAGTGAGAGAAGTCTGATGCCAAAGACCATATACTGTGTGAGTCTGTTTATAGAAAATATTGAGGAAAGAGACAGAAAGCAGACTAGTGGTTCTAAGAGACTGATGGCAGGAATACAGTGATGGAAATGTTCTAAAACTGCATTGTGGTAACAATTATACAACTCTGAAAA